CAGCTTGGGTGCCTTTATTCGCATTACAAAATTGACGACCATGATATACTTAAAATATGAGCGTAGGGTGATGAATTTCACAGCTTTTATTATCTTCGCCTTAGGCGGTTTGAGGTGCAAGAACGCTATTTTTTTGAAGGCTATTTGAACAACTGGCGAATAAACAAGTGTTTGAAATTCCTCGAATGTGTTTAGCCGAAAGTTCACAAAAAGCAAGTATTTAGCAGTGCTGTGAGAAGACAACTGTAAATAAAATTTGCAAAAATCAAACCTGTCGCGAAAATTATTAGTGATAAAAGGGTAGATTAAGTGGGATTCGTGCAGAACTGAAAGAACGCGACGACAGTCAACGCTGTGAAAGAATCCGTTTAAACAGCTATATGGAATTATGTGGATGAAACCAATACAAGAAAGAGGACTGAGAAATTGCTAGCTAAATCGATATGAGAAGTGACACCAGCATTTCGCACATTTTTGGCAAATCCCTTAACTGAGTAAATTAACTGGACTTTATTCCAGTTCATCAAACGTCTCTTTTATTGCATCATACAGCTCTGTGTCTTCGCGTCTGTATTTTTCGACTGCTTGAACAATTTTCTCCTTGTATTGCTCGAGCACTTCTATTTTCGCTTCCAAGGCCTGTAAATAGTAACATTTGCGCTGCCTGCCTAATTTGCCAAATTTATTCTGTTTTATTGAACTCATCAAATTCTGGAAAATTACTGTTTTTTCGTGCATAGCCTTTTCAAATACTGTCTTTAACTTATTTCTTTTTTTCTGTAGCCTTTTTTCTGTAGCTTTTTTTCTGTAGCGGCTTTCAAATGGCGTCCCATCGATCTGTTGCTTATTTCCGTTTCAATTATCTGCCGCATCAGCACCTACAATTAAATTGCCTTATTAGCGCTTTCAATGCATCACCAAATTCGTCAACTTTTTCATAAAATTCTACATATTCTTATATATTTGAAAAAGGTCATTTACTTTTTCATTTTCCTGAGCCAACTTACGTGCTGCTTTGAATTTACCCCTGTTTCTTTTCACTTCGTTCAGTTTGGGTTCTAGTCCATGCAGTTTATTTTTGAGTCCGTGCACAGAGCATTTGTCGTACCGTTTTGTTTCTTCGCCTCATACAGCTTCTTACGTAGCCAGTGAAAAAATTATATTAATGGTGTTTTCCTCACTGCATAGTTAAATACCTCAAGTTTTAAAAATTATTGAAGGCGAGCAGCTCGGAATCAAGGACTTGGCCTAACCGCACGCGGTATGTGGGAGCGTCCGAGCAATCTCCACTCGATTGCTCTAATGGTCTTGCTATATTGTTTCCTAATCTTCCCTTAACCTTATAAATTATCATTCTGGAAAGCAGCCTGAAGGAAAAAGGTTCTTTGCGCTTACTACTGGAATGCGTTTCTCTGCTGCATGGGGATACAAAATATTGACTTGCCTAAGCGGACATACGTTTTTACGCGTTTGTAGAAACAGAAAGACTGTTCACTGTGTGAGTAACGATGCTGGAAATACTCTCATTAGTTTTTCTTGCACTATGAGGAAGAACAATGACAGGGCCGGTCATTCTGCACTGTGGGGCAATATAAAATTTTGGATTTGCAGCATAACTTACTGAACAGGATGCCAAGAAAACCCATAAGTTTTTAATCAGGACTTGAACATTTGTGACGGATCGTTTTACGCTTGCGGGCCGGCACGGGATCAAAAAGTCCAATGAAAGTACAATCTTCCAGTCCGTCTGGTTGTCGAGTTAAAAGAATGCCAATATGTGTGATTTTCACATACGGTCCCGCGAAAATTTTTGGTAAGAAAACTGCTAACTCAAGGA